AAATCAAAGAAAACACCTAAAAAGATTAAAACTTACTTTAATTTACATTCAATAACATGTCTGGCTGAGAAATAAGCCTTAAAACAAATTTATATATATAAAATCAATGTTAAGGTTTCAAAAAAAAATTTATGTGACCTATGTTTTGCATAATAAAAATTTTAAGTGATAAAAAAAATTTGATAAGCAACCAACCCAGTATTAAAAACCTTTATTACGAAACAAATTTTATCGAAACCAGAAATTTCATGTATCGCTAAGAAATTGAGCAAAGGTAATATTGCTACACCAATTTCGAGATAATTTTACCCCGAAATATTCATTGAAGACAATATCGCGAACCTTTTATAGCAAATTGATTTCTGCAAAACTCAGCGAACACTCTCGAGCAAATAGATTTTAGCGAAACTTCCATCTTAAACCAATTTTAGTAATATTTTAATGGCGAACTCATTGTAGGGAGATTTTTTATCGCGAATGTATGCCGAGCATTTACGGCAAAACAATGAATATAATGCAATGCATTAATAAAATGAAAAAAATTTACCAACATATATTCAATCATAAGTTTTAAGGATATTTCATTACTTATTGTCTATTAAATTAGCATAACTCTGTGACATTTATATAATATATCATTAAAAAATAATTTTTACAAAATATTCTATATGCTTAGAATTTTTTCACCTATTTTTAAAAAAAATATCGTAGACAATTGCTTAATATGCTAAATAAAAAATTTAATTTTTTCAGAATTTTTTTTTATTGAAAAATCCTAGTTAATTTTTTTTGAAGAATTTTTAATTTTTTTTTTTAATGATTTTCTTCATTATTGTATAAATGAAAAAAAAAGTAAATCTTATTTTTTTTCATTTCTATATTAAATTGTTATTTCTTTTTTCTGAGTCTTGGTAGCTTAATCATATTGTTTCCAAATTAAAATATTATTATTAGAGTTCACCTTATCAAGGGATCCTCTCCCTTTTTTTTGTCATCAACCAGATCACACCCGATAATCAATTAGATCTTAAAATCCTGACATGATAATGCTTTTATCTCTGAGATCAACTGCTTAATTATACGAAGGAAAAAAAATTATCCATATAAATTTTAGAATTTTCGGATAGTTTATCCTCCAATTAAATTTTTCTCAAGTTCACTTTTATTAGCACTAATTATTGTATAATAAACATGAGACTCTATCCTAGTGATCTGCATCGGGCCTAACTTTTTAAGCCCGGCCTATCCGGATAATATTTAAATGTAGAAATTAATTTTTATAATTACTCATAATAAAAAACATATGTTATATGTCGTTTAATTTCAATAAATAAAATGAAATATTTTTATTTTACATAAAAAAATTCAATATAAAATTGATAAATTTAGATATATTTAAAAAAAATCTCTCCTGCCCGACCCGGCCCGAATTTTTTTAAAAATATTAGGCCCTGCCCGAACCCCATTATTTTAAAATTAGGCCCGAGTCCGGCCCGAAGCCCGTTTGGGCCGGGCCGGACTAGGGCCGGGAACGGGCCAGGCCTAACTTTGCAGATATCTACTCTATCCTACTTAACTTAATTTATAATTTCTTAGGTGAGAAAATTTTTATACATCATTCAAGTTATATAGCAAATCCACAGCTAATAGTTTAAATTTAGAGCACCTTTTTGATATTTCAGAATTATCTTCATGATGTTGGGAAATAAAGCTTCATTTTTCTCAATGTAGGAGTATTAGCTTAAATATTCATCTCTTTCATACTTAATTTCGCCTTAAAAACTCTATTCCATAATTGTCGTAATCCGATCAATTTATGCAAGTTTTTTTGGAATATTGCGGAATGTCAATCACAATCAATTATAATAATCCTAAAAAACGTCAATCAAATTTAGCCAATAGTGTTCTTTTAAAATATATTTGTCCAATATAAATGATTATAGCGTAACCGGTCCAATAGTAATCACCTTACAAACTAAACGTTCATACAATTACTACCATTTCAATCACTTCACATAGCAAAGCAATGGTATCCAGATGGCACTTTCAGGTAGTTATTATCAAAGTAAATTTTTAATATTAATAAATAATTTTTAATTAATTTAGAGTTAGAAAATCAAACATATTTTATTCCTCCTCCTAAATCTATGCATAAAAATATCAATCTAGAAGAACAACAATGTGCATTGAATGCACTGAATACATGTCTAATATTATACATATTCCTGAATATTTAGGGATCAGTAGAACTTAAAACGCATCAAGTACCAATTCAATAGGAATAAGAGATTTATTTTAATAATATTTTAATACTAGAATTTATGTATAATTTAGAATTTAAACTATATCAGAAAGATAAGAGAGATGCAAATATTTACTTATGCATAAAAATTACCTAATTGAAAGATTTATAGTTTTAAAAAATTCAAATATTTATTGTATTATGGAATGGATTCTTCCTTAAGGGCTAAGCCATAAAATATACCTTGGTAACACAAAACTCTCATCTAGCAGGAATAAATTTTTAGATAATAAATTACAAATACAAATGAATAACACATAAATAAAATTACTAAATGTATACATCATTAACATATTTTATAAAAAAAATGGAAAATTTTAGAATAACCCCAAATAAATATAAATTTTTAAATAACACCTCATAAGATAGGAAAATTTTGTATCTCATAACTTCATAATTGTATAATGTATGTTATTCATAACTTATTATAACATTTTTGATTAAATGTAAAACTTTTTTGTTTTACTTATATTTATTTTACTATGATTGAAGTTAACCTCTTTATTTGATGATAATTTTGAAAAATTTTCCATTTAAAATGGCAAAAAGATATGTAAATATTAGACAAATTTAATTCTTATAAGCCCCTTATATCCGACCTATTTTTCTGGATCCAAGGAAAAAATAAATTATATTGGATTTTCCTGGACTTGGAAATATTTTTAACCATTATTATGGACTTGAACATAGCTTGAGAAACATTTTTCATAATTATTATAGTCTTAGATTCCTGCAAATTTTCTAATTTTAAATAAGGGTTAGAAATTGGCCTGAAAGTTTCTTTTAAAGACATGGCAAGGCCTGATCAAAAACCAAGGCGGTTGCAACTTTTATATTCTGATTGTATTTTTAAATGCTTCGTGACTTTTTATAGATATTTTATTTTAGTTCTCAACTGTTAAATATAATTGAATATTATAAATTTTGTTTAAAAGGTCTAAAATTAAATATTGTATTTTTTAGTTTAAAAGGTCGGTGATAAGAAAAAGTAAAATGAAATTGTAAAGGACATATGTATTTTGTTTATATGTAAATACGATATTATAAAAAATGTATATAATGACAAGAATTTTGTATATAGATAGATATAATAAAATAAATTTTAAAAATCAAAAAAGAGTTAACAAAATAAATTAATCTTTTTCTACTTTTTTTAATACCTGCCTTCCGTGTGTTTATCATGGTGGCAGCTTATTTATTAATAATAACATTGCCTTTGGAAACCATTATAAAAAGATATTTTGACAATAATAAAAGAGATTTCTCTTATAAATTACATGATTCCATGACAATTATTATGATACGTTATGACAGACTTGAGGACATGCAAGAAGCGTATGAACTAATAAATGGAAAAGAATACTTCGACACTACTGGACGATTATTTATACTGAAGGCTCGTAGATATCAAAGAGACTTATAAAAATATCAATTATAGTCGTATTGTATTTTCACAAACATATATGATAAATATAATTATAAATATTAATATTATATAATAAAGTATAATGAAACCTTTAGTTAAAAATACTATAATAGAATGCCCTATATTTAATAATAATGTTAAGGTTTTTCTTAAAAAATTTGATTATATATTTAAAGATACACAATATACCGCATACGCATTTACGCAGAGGTTACCGGATGATCTTTACCTGAGACTAGAAGCGATATGCACTCCTACGGAATTTAGCAATCCATCGATCGTACTCGAGAGATTTAAACTTTTACAACCGGACAATTCGAACATAGCGTATTTGAAAGAATTCAGTGAAGTAGTACAAGATAAAAATGAAACATTCAGTAATTGGGTAACCAGATTATGTTTATTAAGTAATAAATGCAAATTTAGTAATTATGATAGAGCAAATAAAAATATATTCAACCAATAAAGATATACGTCAGAAAATTTCACATGTAGAAAGTTCAGATATTCATGAAATAATAAAAATAGGAAAGGGGATTGAGGATGATGAAGCTTATGACAAAATAATTAATAAAATTGATAATATAAAAATAGAAGATACATCCGAAATAAAACAAATAGAAATGCGGAAGGTTAGTCAGGCGGATACGGATAGAAGGATGATGAAATACGATGATCGATATAGAGGAGTAGATGCACAAACGAATTACGTCCATAGAAATCAATGGAGGCCTAGATACGACAGTTATCAGAGATATAATTATCCAGAGAATAATTTCAATCCTCGTTTTCAAAACAATTGTAATCCTCGATATTAAAACAATTTTAATCCAAGATATGCGAATAATTACGAGCCAAGATATCGAAATAATTATAATACTAGAGTTAATAGTGGGTATAATGGACCGAGATCGTATAATAATTTTATAAGATTCAACAAAAAATAATTATAATAATAACTACAATAATTATAGATATAATAATAATGATAATTACAAATATAATGAAAATAATTATAGAGATTATAGATATCAAAACGAATCAAGATATATACCAAGATATAATAATAATCGTGAAAATAGTCAGACAAGCAATAATAGATATAGAATCAATAATAATAATAATAATAATACAGGATATTCGAATAATATAAATACCGTCGATATAGAAGAAATAAAGGATAACAAAATAATTATTATGGTCTTTGGCGAGTTTGAGAATGGTGCCAGCCGCAAAAAAAGAGAAGAAAAAGTAATATATTTTAATATTTTTTAAAACAAATTTGTCTTAATCTCATCCCTTTTCATTCATTATATGCCTTATTTTTATACTATTTACTTTTTTAAAATTCTCTTTTTAAATCCCTGATTTGGCCTTTTAATATCCCTAATAAACGTGGGGATTCAAACTCCCATCAGCTGAAAACAATATTGAGACAGGTAATTAATGAGTATATTAATTTGAAATATTTTTCTTTTGCAGTAGAGATGGCCAAATCAGCATGGAAAAACTAAGAGATTGCTTTATGATGGAATATTATAACTATAGAGCCAGGGATTCAGTATACCAATTTGAAAAAAACAAATCCTGTTATATCTAAAATTGATGAAGCAAATATTGCTAGAGCAATGTATGAGCAAATGAGGTAATGAAAATTATCAATATGAAGATGGTAAATATACTAATTTTTGTTAAGATTTTATTAATATATAGCCATTGAAATCCCCTGCATAGAGATAAGTAGTGAAGCTACGATTTTAAGGAATGACTGTAATCCTATTTTATATAAATAATATTATATATATTTAGCATCACCATCAACTAGTATAGGATCAAATTTATCTTGCAAAAAATTAATTAAAAAGAGGGATATTGATCAAGGTAATTTGCATTTGTAAATATTTTTTATTTTAAACTAGATCTATTTGAGCAAATACTTGAAATAAAAAAAAATGAAAGAAATAAGATTATCTACAAATTCTTGGATCAATGTCTTCTTGAGCAAACCCTAGCAAAAAGATCAGAAAGGGGAAAGAAAAAGCTTATTAAACTTTTTTTTGATATACTCTTCAATTTGACAGTGATCAAGAAAAAAAAATAATAAATTGTATTCTTATTATTTCATTGGAGGGCTTTTATATTATTTTAATCATATTTAAATATAATAAATAAACTTTCTTTTTATTAAATAATTACAAATCAATATAAATTAAATAGAGTAATATTTTTAAAATTAAATTATAAAGCTATAAGTACCATGATAAATTATTTCTATAAAAATATTCAGAAAAGGCATCTCTAATATCTTTAGCAAGCTTTTAGGGTTTTTTTTTAGATTGAGGATTTCATAAATAATTATTTTGTTTAATCTTGAGTATCCTTGGGGTGGAGATCTATGTTTTCTTTACCAATAACCAAATTGTGTAATAGTGCATAAATTTTATAATTTCGCTATTGGTGACATTGGTATCCAAGGCTCGATTAAGAATACACCATTTAGATGCCAATATGCCAAAGGTGCATTCTACCATTCTTCTGGCCCTTGAAATGCGATTGATAGTTACATCCTGTTCCCAAATATCTAAGCAATTTTGATAATATAAAATAAAATCAATATAATCCTTAGTATTATGATCCATTTTTCTTCTACTGATGTATGATTTTAATAAAATTTGTTTTTTTTACCATTAGTTTTGTGGGTTAAAATATAATAAAAGGTTTTATAAATACAAAATTTTAATTTAGATTATACAATGAAATATATATTTTGGTTAATCTAATATAATTTTAAAATTTTCAGGATTGTTTGTAAGTTTTAGCAATAGCACTGAGAACTCTCCTTCCTCTTCTTTTCTAACATTCAGATTATTTTTCCTCCTTTTCATATAAGGATATAATAGGAATAATTTTAAAGTTGTATAGATACCTATTTTTAAAAAAAAAAAATATGCTTGTCGCAACTACTGTGTCGCTTATGACACATCAGCTGTCTTAGTTATTTTATTTTATTTTCTATTACATATATTATGCCTTTCAAGAATATTTTCCCCTTTATTTGATAATAGTAATTATGTACCAAATATTGGTTCATATTGAAGGCCATAATATAATGTAAACATATTTGTTAAAATATTGAAAAATGGTACATTTCTGATTTATCCATCAAGGAGAAAAATACGAACTTCCCTATTATTATTGAGAGGTTAGCTGCTCGTTATAAATAAAGTATAGAGCATAATTTCAAATTTTAAAAAGACAATAATTTGATATCAATTTTAATGATAATATTAGACATTTGATAAAATAAATATTAAAAAATTAAATATCTAAGAAATAAATTTTCTGATTTTATTCATATTTACCTCGATGGTGAATGTAGCATAAATAAAAAATCCCTAAAACATTTTAATAAAAAAAACCAACTAGACATATTAAATATTATAAATAAAACTAGCTCAAAAAAGCGTATAATATAATTTATTTTTTAAATTTAAAAAAATACTTAATAAAATTGATATCCATTTTAATCATAATATTATACCCATTTGATCATAATAATTAATTTAAAATTAAGTAAGACATGAATCTTCTAATTTTATTCGTATTCATATTCACCCTGAGCCTAACCATTTATCAAATTGATGGTAAGAAAATATTTTGATTTTTTTTAACTCTATAATATATATAATATACCATAGACTTATCCAGGATTGTGCTAAGGGAAGGGGAATGGTAGGTGAAACTATTAGGGGAATTTTATCGTCATAAATTTTATTAGAGATCTTTAGTTCTTTTATTAAAGGCCTTTGGCTATATTAGATTTTTCTAAAATTATTTTTAGGTTTTCACTTTTTTTTTCTATTGAATTATAATCGTTATTTTAAAAAGTTATCAATTTTTTTTATTAATTTTTCTTTCAAATTCTTTCTTATAATGATATATTTTAATTGGGAGATAGATGGTGGAAATATTTATCAACTTAAAATGATTTTTACGAGTAATTTTTTTTCTTGTTAATGCCATAAAATCTAAACTTTTTGGTTTCAATTAATATATATGTGTTAGCGTCAAATTTCAATGTGTTATTTTACTAACTATAAATCATTTTTTGAGCGCGTTTTTTAAAATTTAAAAATTTGATTTTAGCCGGAAATGTATGCCGTCATGTTTGGAATATCTACCCTATGAATTTCAGACAATTTTTCTATATATTTTTTATCTCGAAGATTAGCAGCAAAATAATCTACAATTCTTAATATAGGTATTTAAAACATGATAAATATATTTCCCGTAAATTTAAATTTTTTAAAAAAACGCTATTGAAATATGATTTCAAGTTGAAATTACATGGAAAAGCATATTCCCGCTAACATATATAATATTAAATTATGGTTTAAATTTCTATCTAGAATTATTTAGAGAACCTATTATATGTTATATGCGATCTGGGCAGGTTCATATATTTGATTTGGCCTAGATCGGGTCGTTGAATAGTAAAATTAAAAATCTCGGAAGTTTAAATGTGTGAATAAATTATAAATACATATCAATAAATTTTAAATTATATTAATATTGGTCGTTTACCTTTTATTTGCTGTTAAAATTTTTTTAGGCTCACTTTTAAAACGATTTATAAAATTAAAATATATCCGAAATTATTTATATGATATATTTTCAAACATTGGGGTTATATAAATGCCTTAAATTGTTTTAAGCAAATTTAAAATTAAAGAGAAATTTACAACATTTCTTATAAATGTAAATAATTTTTTTTAACTCTATATGTTGCACTTGTAAAAGTTGCCTCGATATCCTATCAATTTTCCTGAAATTACGATTGAAATGGTCGCTAGCTTTTAAAATCTCAGTGGGTTCAGTGTGAGGGAGAGAAGTTAATAGAATAGGAAGAAGAAAAAAGCCCGAATAAAATTTTAGCCAAGGAAAGAGGAAATATGGTTTCAACTAATTTTGAAGATTTCGATTTTCTATATCAATTAAAAAATATTTAGGGAATGGGTAACAAAAAAGATTTTAAGATTTTTATTAAAAATTTTTTTTGTTTCACTTAAAAAATAACCTGCCATACCCAGAGTCATTTAAAAATAGTTAAATAGATCAAACATTTACAAATTTATAAAGGCGCTCAGAGTATATAAGGTTGAAAGTCACGGCTTTTTTATTTTGTAGTCTAATGATTAGGCTATCTAATAACAAGTTAATTATATAAATCATAAATAAAATTTATCGCAAAAGAAATTTATAATTTTTATTTATCTTTAAATTTTTTTTATAATAAATGCTGATTTTGTCTATGTTACATTTTTATATCCGATTTATTTAAAAAAAAAATTTTTTTTTATTAAAATAATAAATTAAAATTCCAAGAAATTTTCTCTTGTTTTTTTTTCTTATAATAAGATATAAACATTTTTATGTTTACCTTTATTCGAACGAATAAATAAATTATATTATTTTTTAAAAAATGAAAATAATTTACATTTTTTTGCTAAAATTTATCTTATCTCTTCGCTCATATAGTCTATATGGGGTAGAGGGGGGGGGGTGGGATGGGTTCGAACCTCTGATAATTTTAAATTTTTTTTATACCATGTTAGCTGAAAAAAGGGTAATTTTGAAAATAATTTTTAAAAAAATTAATGAGCTAGAAATGCCGGGTAATATGATTAATTAATTAGTCTACTAAAGACTCATCATCTCTTTCGAAATTTATAAAAGAATTTTCCGTATCGTTAGGAATAACGTGATCCAAAATAGTTTAAACTCTTGAACTAAAATGATAAATATAAACGTTAAAAATATTAAGGTTTAGTGTATATACTTTCAAGCAGAAAAAACTTTAAATATAAAATTCTTTCTTTACAAATTTTCTATTTTACCACTAGCTGTACAGGGGTAGTAATCTCAATTATTCTAGATAGCCTTATATCACCGAATTAAGTTCATTCGGTAGCTTAAAATATAAGAGTAGAGGCCCAAATTTTTTTTTGGATTAATATGCTTTGACTGCGGAGCTCCAACTTCAACATAAATATATAGTAGACAGTGTATAAGTATAAAATATTAAAATGAGTATTTGAAGATTTTATTCACCTAAAATTTTGAGCAAAAGATGTTTGAAGATAAACAAAATTGAATTATGATCCTTTTTAAAAAATATCGTCATGAAATATTTTTAAGCGTAACAAAAGATTTACATACTCTTAAAAGATTTTAACAAAGGATTAAGAATTTTGAACTTTTTCAATAAACCTCACGTGAAAAATCAAAATATCTTTGGAAATTTAGAAAATATTTGGTCATTAGCAGTTAAAACACTAATTAACATACCACCAAATTTAAAACAATTTAAAAGATCCATAGTTGTTAACGCTCCTTTTTAAAAGTAGGGAACTACCGCTCCTGTTCCAACCTTCTCAAAAAGAGCTAGCTCCTGCATCTACATTTTTAAAAGGAGCTAGCTCCAACTCCAAGTTAAGGAGTGCCATTCCATAATCGGTCCTTTGATTTTCATTTTTTTAGAAGGTATGCGAAACAAAATCCTAGCATCATATCTAACAACCTAGGCTCAACTATAATGAATTGCCCAAAAATAATAATAACCATTTTTAAAAAAATTATTCCAAAATAAAAAAAATATAGTTATCATTTTGTATTTTAAAGGAAGGTTTTTTACTTTTAAATGTATTTTTAGATTGAAGCTGCTCACTTTTGAAAATGAAATACTTTTACTTAAACACAAAAGGCATTTTGCCCTTAAATTTGTCTGATCATTTGGATCAACATCTTTTAGAAATTTAAAATATTTTTTGTGATGGAAATGAAATTCGATTTCTTCTTCTATGATCTCTAAATCCATAATAAAACTGTTTTTATTTAATATTCAAAATGATTAGATGAAAATCCAATATATAACTCGGCTCAACATTTATTAATGGATAAATTTTAAAAAAAAATTTTTTTATTTTTATTGCATTTTAATTAACAAACATTGTTAATATTTAAAAAATAATTTAATTTATACCTTAAATTTAAAGCAGTCCTAAAAGAAGCTAGCTCCAACTCTCGCTCCTCATTTTTAGGTGTTTTTGAAAAAATGTCAACTCTGA